AAATGAAAATTATTCCTTCTAGTAGAAGGGGGGGTTGGTTTTTTTTTCCCCTGCTTATCTATAGCCTCACTTAGCTCAATATGTAATTCCAGCAAAAACAATCTCCTGAATGGTTAAAAATCTTAGCTTTCTCCTCTCTTTATAAGCTAAGCACAAGTTCTATGCTGACAAAATCAAAAATGTAGACAAAATGTAGCATACTACAAATCTTTAAATTTACTATTTATTTTTATATTGATTCACCTCAAAACTTTGTGAAGGTACTTTCATTCAGTCACAAAAAGGCTTTGAAGCAATGTACCCATATACACTTCACAGTCCTATAGAATTGATAAATAGTGTCCCCTCCCAGCTATAGCAAACTGACCTTGCTTTGAATAGCCTTTCATTTCTCAAATTATTCCTTCCAAGGGACTTGAAGGAAAAAGTCATTATGGGAGATCAGTGCTGTGCGTGTGCTCAGCGTTGCTGGCATACTGGTGCACAAGCAACTGTTAAGTAGCATGGAACATATGCCCTAATGGTGTAATTGTCTACAATTATGCAAACAACTTTATTGACTATGCTAGAAGTGCTGGCTAGTCCTGCTCGGCTTGATGGCTCCTGGAAGTACTATTCTTAGACTCCTGACTCCTTCCCTGTTGTATTTAGGGAATCTGGCCCTTCTGAGCTGAATGCATGCAAGAGCTAGTTACTGCAAGACCTATATAACTTTGCAAGTCTAGCTATCCTTTTGTATGCGTTCACATATGAATGCTGGTCCAGTCTTGCCTGTAATACTCTGAAAAGCCTTGTGCTGTAATACACTGCCCACCAAAAGGGAAAGATGAGAAGTACAGCTGTCTTGGGAGAGCAGAAGCGAAAAGTCAGAGAGTCTGATGAGGAGAAAAAAAAAGGTTTGGGGAGGGAAATAATTTTGCAAGAGGGCTGAAACTTTACTCAAAAATGGTGTGACTAACAGTCGTGAAATATAAAGAAGTTACAGTCATGGAAAGATCAGTGGTAGCTGTTTTTAAACACTTCAGGTAACCCAGCTAGTGCAATTTCTGCATTTTGGGTTTTTTTTTTCAAATCAGTCAGGCATGGGGGAAAAGCCTGCCCTATTAAAAGTATTTGGAACTATTGAATCTGTTGACTGTTCAGCAAATAAATGCAGAGATTGTAATTCCCTCGCTTATGAATAATAGCTTGCTTCACAGCTAATCTCTTCAATTTAGTAGAAATAAATGTGGATTATGGCAACATTTGGTGCAAGCAAGGATTTTAAAATAAAATTATCTAAAATAAAAACGTCTGTTTTAAACAGACATTTTGATTAACTGCTAAGATGCAAATATTGGAAGAGCATCCTGCAAAGTAAATAGCTTTTCCATCTTCAGTATTAGTAATTATTTCTTTGGCCAGTATAATTTCAATGGGGAAAGAAAAAAGAGTATCTTTCTCTTTTTTTCATTTGAAGGTTTTACCTTCTACATGCAATTTGTGTTATTCTTACCTAGTTCTGTATTCATTTCTTATGTTCTGTACCGTTCTTTCTGTGAAATCTTGGATTTTAGCAGACATAAAGCTTTTTCTGACAATTATTGGATTGATGCTTTTACACAAAAGGGAACTAAATGGGTTCCAAGGAGTGGGTTGTGAATTTGTTTTTTGCTTAGGTGAGCAGTTGTAGTACTGGGAAGTGCTACTGGCAGTCTAGGATAGAAAATGCCAAAAAGAGTGCTTGTTCTGAATTTGCTAAACTTCAAATCTCTGACTCATGTGAGGAAGCCCTCATTACATTTTCCCAGGGTGATGCAAGTCATTTGGATATAAAGTATGCCTGCTGTGCTTTAGATTACGGTGGAGGAAATCTTCAGTTGGGAAAGACGTTTTGAATTCAAGACCTACCACTCCCAGCCTGTGATGCATGTCTCAACTTAAGATAATGAAACCAACCTGTTACAGACAAATTGCATTTAAATAATTAGTTATTCAAATTTGAGAAAGTTATTTCAGACTACAGAGCCCATAAAATTCTCACATCAAGTATTTGTGAAGGCAAAAATAGTTCAGTTTTATTTGTAAGTGCTCATTAAATAGAATGGGAAGAATTTCTTCTCATCTGTATAAAATTTTGAAATGGTGTGTTGAAGAGATTGTGATGTTTCGCTACTGTAACTAAAGAAGAGATTTTATGTTTGGTAGTCAGATAATATACAAACAAGTAAATGTAGCAGTTGTTGTAACTGAGATCTTTAAAGAAAAATGTTAGCATTCTCTAGAAAATAAAAAGAAGGAATGGGGTAAATGTTCTAATGAACAGTGTGAATGTGTAAAGCAACACTCCAGAAACCCTTCTGTGAGCTGACTGAAGTATGATTTTCTTTTGCTTGCTTGTAAACAATTTATTTTTCCACTTGAGCTATCTTAATAGAGTAGCTGATTTGGCTTTGGAAATTAGGCATGGAAATTCAATGTGACCTGAAAAGAAAGCAATAACATTTTGTCTCTAGCATGTGGATTTTGTCGTAAACAAATATGAGTGACAGCAATTGATAACACCTCAAAGAATTCAATATTAATATTAGATTATACCCCCCCCAAGTTCTCCCCTCCTTACATTCTTGATAGCCAAGATTTTTTTATATGTATATTAAACAGAACTATTGACAATACAGATTGTGTAAATAGTGCAAATATTCACAGACTCACAGAATGGTTGAGGTTGGAAGAGACCTCTGGAGATCATCTAGTCCAACCCCCCTGCTCAAGCAGGGTCCTCTAGAGCACATTTCCCAGGATCGCGTCCAGGCGGGTTTTGAATATCTCCAGGGAAGGAGACTCCACTACCTCTCTGGGCAACCTGTTCCAGGGCTCTGTCACCCTCCCAGGAAAGAAATGTCTCTCTTGGACTGGGGAGCCCAGAATTGGACACAGTACTCCAGGTGAGGCCTCACCAGGGCTGAGGAGAGGGGGAGAGGATCACCTCCCTCGACCTGCTGGCAACACTCTGCCTAATGCACCCCAGGATCCCATTGGCCCTCCTGGCCACAAGGGCACATTGCTGGCTCATGATTAACTTAACAGGTCCTTCTCTGCAGAGCTGCTTTCCAGCAGGTCAGCCCCCAGCCTGTCCTGGTACCTGGGGTTATTCCTGCCTAGGTGCAGGACCCTGCACTTGCCTGTGTTGAACTTCAGGAGGGTCCTCTCTGCCCAGCTCTCCAGCCTATCCAGGTCCCTCTGAATGGCAGCCCAGCCTTCTGGTGTGTCAGTCACTCCTCCCAGTTTAGCATCATCAGCAGACTTGCTGAGAGTGCGCTCTGCACCTTCCTCCAGGTCATTGATGAATATATTGAACAAGACTGGACCCAGGACTGACCCCTGGGGGACACCGCTAGCTACAGGCCTCCAACTTGACTCTGCGCCACTGACTACAACCGTCGGAGCTCTGCCGTCTAGCCAGTTCTCAGTCCACCGGGTAATAAGTAACACAAAATAAGAAAACGGGCTTCCAAAAAGTGCTATAATGGCTGTAGAATGTTTATTTAGAACATAGCAAGTTAATAAAAGATTAAAAGTTAAATCACAGCACTTGTTCCATTTTTACTGGAATATTTTGCTCTTTGTGTGAGGAAGAGTGATTATTTTTCCTAATTCCTATTCTGACTCCTCAGTCAGATGAATTTTAAAATCTCATTTTTCATGTTTGATGATTCAGATTGCTCTGAGGCAGGGATACCTGTTTTAATTTAAATGAACTATTTCTGCAATAGGATGATGATGAGATAACTTGAATCAGGTTTTCTGATACAGAATTGGAAGCCCACAAATGGGTATACCTTGTTTGAAACATCGTTGCTGCTGTGTATGTTGGGAGAGTAAATGTTTTTTACGGACCAGCGAGGAACTGGGGATGTCTCATCAGAGGGAGGGAGAAGAACAGGGTTAATTGTTCACTGCCTGTCTCTTCCAAGGATGAAGTGTTATTGATTTGACTTCTGTATGAAGCTAGATAGTTAGGATTCAGTGAACCTCCAAAACTGCGTATTTCTCCACGACAGGCAATACGTTCTTATTTCTAAAACAATGTTACTGCCATGCGGTGTGGATAGTCCCTTGGTATGTTACTTTTTCATTTCAGTTAGTGTTGGCAGGAAAATGCTACTGATAGTTATCACAAGATATTCCTTTTAAATTTTTAACTGGAATCACTGAAGACAAGAGGGCCAGAAATGATTTTTGTTTCAGCAATGGGATTCCTTTTTGTACTTTGCATAGAAAGTTTTGAATCCTTGATGCTAGGTAGTTGAGGCTTTCAGAATGTAAATAATACAGATGATTGTCATATTTCAGGGAATAAATTAATAGAAGTATTTCATAATAAATATTATGGTATTAACAGAAATATGGCATCATTTAGGGAGACTGAGGTTCTTCTGAGGAGAATAGTGGGGTGAACAAAGTTGTTACGCATCTGGAAGTGCACCCTTAAATTTTGGTTAAGAATGCTACCTTTCTCTTATAACAGGGATGTCACAGAAACAAGCTTCCTAAACTTTTGTTGCTTGCACATGTAAACTATCAGTTCAGGAAATCTGAAACTGTTATTTCACTTTTTTGTCCCAAGGATTTATAAAGTTACTCCCGTCAGTTTATAGGTGTCAGTTTTAATCTAAAGAAGATAGAATTCAGTCTTTTGCATTTCTTTTCATTTTTATAGAGACTTCCACTAATGATAGGGACGAATGTAATTGCCACTATCAGTGGGTCTGAACAAGCAGTTCCATTAAAGCAAATAGAATTGAGCGAAACTAAGGATGAAAACTTTACTTTATAGTGTGAAAATAAACAAAAATAAATAGTGTTTCTGTTCTCAAGACTATGTTTTTTCTTAGTGAGTAATCAGAGTAGTCAGTCTTTATACAGCCTGTGTGCTTAGTAGTTTATCTCCTAGTAACAACTAAGGACTTCGGACCCTTAACAAAGTCCAAGGAGGCTGGTATCACTATGCCAGTGGAGTAGCTTGGTACTGTGTTACAAGTAGTTTGCTGGTAAAAGCTGCAGACTTCTGTGTAACCGCATACTGTCTGGTGAGTAACAACTTGAAAAGACCTCAGCTTGCTCTTTAACTTGAGACTACAAAGATACTGAAAGGTGCTGACTATGTGATCGCAACAAGGAGCGCGAAAGAGAATCTGTAACCTGGTAGAGAACCAGCTTTAAATTTACGTTTTTGAAAGCATGGAACTATCTATGTTTCTGAAGTGAAAGGCTGTGTTCAGAGTAGTTCACTTTCATCAAAACTTTGTTTTCACATGAGGAGGAGGAGGAGGAAGATCACACTTCACTGATCAGTTCCTTCATCAATGAGATTGCAATTGGAAATAATAATGGTGAAAATTATACTTTTCCTTGTCAGTAGAGCTAATCATAAAGGCATAGTAAGGAGGCGTAAGTGGGGGAAAAAATCTGATGTTCTCTGAATTATCCTGTAATACAGTTTTTTACAGTTTTCTCTGAGGTGGAGAAAATATTAAGTAACAGTGGAAAGATATCACTTTCTTATCCTTAAAATAATTTAAAGTGGTAGGCTGAACCGTGCATCTTCATGGCTCGTTTAGGGCAAAATATAACATGAATGTTTCCTTTAAGAATAACTCACATTTATACTCATAAGTTACTAGTTGGCTTGTCAGGTGGTACGTTAAAGCTAGAGCTCTGGCAGACTTGAAATAGCGATGATTTTAGTTGAAAATTTCTGGACTATCTTGCATCTCCTGAGGTCATTCCAGAAATTCCTGTTGTGGGGTATATATCGTGTCTTAAGTTCCTTTACCTGTTTCTACTGTAAAATTTTCCACTCTAAATACTGCACTTGAGCATGTGAAGTGAGCTCGCATGTGACTGTGTGTGTGTCATGTCTGTTCTAGTGTTTGTGTTTGTTAGGTTTGTGGGTTGTTTTTTGGTTTTTTTAAGTTTCTGTCTGTTTTTCCTCCCTGCATTATAGCTTCCTGGCCTTAAGCAAATACTATATAGCTTGTTTAGTTTCTGGGTGATGCAGACAGGACTTAAGATTTTTCGTTGAAGATCTGAAAACAGTAGAGATTTAATAAGATACCTAGCCAACTAGTTCTTCAAGGATTGATCAAACCTAGCCAGATCAAATCCCTGGGGTATTATTTACTGCTTAGTAAAGTACTAGAATTCTAGCTCGGAAGAGTATGAAGCTTTGCATTGCTTGTGAACTTTCTGAGGTAGCTGACAGCTGATGATTTTGAGCTCTCTCAAATGCTCTCTTTTTAGCAGGAGTTTGCAATGAAATAAAGTGGATATTCAGGGAGAGCTGAGATGCAGTTAGTCAAAGCTGTTACAGCATGGGAGTTAAGGGAGGTAATGGAGCAGAAGAATTAGCCTCTTAACTGGATAAGGACTCTCCTCTTACCCGTGTAGAGGATGGGGAGTGCAAAACAATGTGGTCATGTAAGGTGGAGAACTAATCTAAACAGAGGAAATGTTATATAACATTTGGCTGCCACTTAATTTTTCTTATGCGTGGGTGGTGGTGATTTTGATGCTTTTGGCAGGAACTCTGCGTTGCTGAGCTTCTCAGAAAGTCTCAGATTGTCTTTATGTTCCTTCTTCTGCTGAGCATCCCAGATTTCCCTCATGCTCTGGTATGGGTGACTGTTCTGTCAGATGTATGCTGTGAATGGGACGGAGCGTTTGTAGCCACCTGTGGAGATTGATTCCTTATTTCTTCAGGTTTCATAATGGGAAAGATACAAAATACCTACTCTTCTGAAGGAGGAAAACTGAACTCTTTTTCTGAGCTTTCATGCTTTTAATGTTTACTCTTAAATTTTTTGTTCAGAATTTCCCCATAGCTGGAGAGAAGTCTTTGCAAAGGGGAAAAGAGGATCCAGAGGAAATTGTTTCCAGTATTGCCCTGCTGAAGTTAGTCCTAGATGTACTTAGTCATACCTGCTATTTTATTGATTTGATTCTGCTGCCTCTACTTCTCCATAACCTGTACACACCCATCTTGTCCTCACAGAAGTTGTACAGAGGAATGCACATAACAGTGTGTGCCGTAATTAAACAATTCTGTAAGTAACTCCATTTTATTTTCAATCATTGAGATAAATATTAGTTATACTGCACTTGCTCAGGCTGTCGTTGGATTGTTTCATAAAGGTGCTGCCACGCTTAAGTATACCTTCAGGAACAGGGCAATACAAGATACATAATGGAGGGAGTTTCAACTCTTTCAAGACAGCTGTTCCTGTCAGCTGACAGGGACAGACATGTTGACTTAAATTCTTCATAGTTCAGAAGGCCTGACTTTTAAGTGCCTTGATGGTGTGATCTTGAATCCCCAAAAGCAGTTACTAAAGCATCTTTAATTTGTAGGAATTGTACCTATGTATGTTCTGTAAATGTTTATTCCCCCTCCTAGAGCAAAAAACAAGGACGTGTATGATGCTAATGGTTCCAGGAAGGTTGGGAAGGCCTGCCATGATATCCTAATCAGTGGGAATTCTCATTTTGGGGGATCAGATCTTCTGAATTACTGTTTTATTTGTGTTTGCATCAGCTTTCCCATGCCAGATTGGCTAGTTATTGGCCAGCAGTTAAACTGCTTCATGCAGCTGCATACATATGGCAGTATTTACCTGGAGTAACTATTATTGGGCAGGGTGAATCTATGCCTTCCATCTCTGAGTGTGCAAACTTATATCTGTTGCTGATTGTGTGTGTCTTGCATTATCTTGTGATCCTAGCTTAAAAAAAAAGCATCTAAATCTTAAGAAAATGATATGCATATGTAAGATTGTATCAAGACTGCATCTACTTGGCAGTTATGCATACAAAGTGATTTCATTAAACCAAATCATTTTGTTCTTCTATTGAAAACCTGCTGTTGAGAGACTGTCCACTGTATTTCATATGATGTACATGGCTGCTGCTTCCTAAAAAGCAGCTGCAGAAGAGCAAGTTTTCATGAAGGGTACTGATTAAAGTGCAATCCATAGCTTTAGAGATAACTGCAGATAGGGAAAAGAAACAAAAAACCCCAATGTGCTGCAGGTGTTCTTTTGGCTGACAGTTCTTCTGTTCTTGTGACCTGGAAAGGTGGAGACATTTTTCTAAAATTCTGCAGAAATTTTAAGTGATAGCCAAGAATAATGATGTGGAAAGAATCAAGAAATAAAACAGGAGAGAGAACCTTGTAACTTTAGGAAAGCTTCTAGATCCCTAGGTTTGGTAGCTTCTGCTGGTGTCATGTTACCTCCACTGGAGTGCCATGAAGAGGTTAACAAAGCTATGAAGATGTATGTTACAGTTATCATTTTGCTGATGTTTGAATATTTTTTGAGTTAGCTGCATATTTCTCCTCTTATTGTAGATGATGTATGTCAACCTTTAATTCTAAAATATTCCATCCCTTCAGTCTGTGAATAGCAGTTTGGCACCTGCAGCTTTTCAAGGACTAATTTTGGAGTTTTATTTCCTGATGCTTTAATTAACTTCATGTGAGCTATCAATGTCAGTACACGTTTTTAGAGCATCTTTGCTGTTGGGGAGTGAATTAGTTGAAGGAATTACTAACACGATAACTTGCTTTTCTCTTTTAGTTTATCAGATCTAAACATACGGTAAAATGCAGTTGTCTGAAATTAATTTTGTGATCTTAGTTCAGTTCTGCCTTTATAAGCCCTGCTTCTCTAGGCTTGCTCTCACTTGCTGCTTTCTTTGTGCTCCAAGCTGAGATACAAATAATTCAAGTGGTGCAAGTTTGTTCAAACTCTATTGCTTCTTACCTTTAGTTATAATCCCTCCAGGCTAGATTTGCCCTTCTGGTATTGCTGTATCCTATATATTGTCATTTATCTACTCCAGAAGTACAAATAATTCTTCTGTCCTGTCACATTTGGAACAATTGCTTGCCAGAGTACTGCATAAGAAGTGATGTCTAAACTTGAGTGTCCTCTGGCTGTGTAATACCAATCCAGAATTATGATGACTTAAGGAACAGCGATGAATAACGAACTGCCTTTTAATGCAAACTGTGTGCAAGTCTAAGTGGTCCCATCTCCCAGTCATTTTGCCAAAAGCATTTAACCCCTTCATATTCTAATTGAAGCTTTCAAAATCTATCTAGATGTCTCTCTAAACTATATGTACAGAATCCATGAAATAACTATTATTGCAGTAAATTGATGTAATAAAAATGTTAATATGTGAGCTACTGGTGATCAATAAGCTTTTAATCAATTTGCAAATATATTGTCCTTTTAAAAAAAAATGGAAGTACATACAAATTTGCTTTCATTGTGTTTTATTTGAATAACTTAAGCTTTTCACAAGGGAACCAACCTATATTTAAAAAAAAAATCTGTTTGGCTCTGTGCAAGCATATTAATATTAACTATGGTACCTTTACCTTCAGATGCATTTTAAGGAGATTTGCATGCTAGCTCTGGGGGCCTCTCTGCAGTGAGTCCTCTTTGGAAGATTAAAAATAAAATCCGTAACTTCTCTGTTGTGGACAGAAAATGGCCATTTTCCTTTCTGCGTGCACGTACGTAGAGTATGGCTGTAGACTCAGAGGGAAAAAAGAGGTCTTAAAAGAAGGATATTATATGGTAATAAATACCCTGATTTAAGAACTTTGCGAAGTGAAGGATAAGTGTGGTGCAGTAAAATGCAGGTCAAATTAATCCTTGAAAAATGATTTTCTTTCAGGCTAAGCACTGTTATTGATATGTTTTGGTTTTCAGCTTGGGTATTTCTATTCATCTAGTAGGAATTTGACTACTCATTTTGTCTTTTTAAGTTGCAACAATGAGGGAAGAAATACAGCAGCAGCTTTTAAAGGGAGCTTTAAACAGTTATCATATTGTGACATGTTTGGAAGAGAATCCACGTATTTCTAGGAAGCCCCCTCAGGTTCCCTATACTCAAGACGTAACACCTCTACAGCACCTCCCAAGGAAGAATGGATGTGATGCAAAGCCCCTTTTGGTCAGGAAAAATCCTCCCAATAACTTCAGACCTGTTACGTATAAAGCATTAGTCAGATGTATTG